CAGGACCCTGGGATCATGACCTGAGCTGAAGGCAGACGATGAACGACTGAGCCACCCAGGCGCCCCCGTCTTTTATTTTTCTTATGTGTGTGAGGACCTTGAGTTACTAATGGGGTACTTAACAGGAATATTTTCCTGATAGCAGGCCAAGACTCAGGCCTTAACCTATCTGCCTCTCTAATTCTTAGATTTCCCCCTGTACCTCGGGAAGAATATGGTGGGCCGAATGCCTGATTGCTCTGTGACCCTGCCCTTTTCATCCATCTCCAAACAACATGCAGTGATTGAAATCTTGGCCTGGGACAAGGCACCTGTCCTCCAAGATTGTGGCAGCCTCAATGGTACTCAAGTCCTAAGGCCTCCTAAGGTCCTAAGCCCAGGGGTGAGTCATCGGCTGAGGGACCAGGAGTTGATTCTCTTTGCTGACTTGCCCTGCCAGTACCATCGCCTGAATGTCCCCCTGCCCTTTGTTTCCCGGGGCCCTCTAACTGTAGAAGAGACACCCAGGGTACAGGGAGGAACTCAACCCCAGAGGCTCCTGTTGGCCGAGGACTCGGAGAATGAAGTAGGTATGTTTGTGTATTGGGAGGGTGGGTGAGAAGATGGAGATGGTGAGTGTAAAACAGTCAACTTACTCCTTTCTACTCTTGACAGATTCTCCTTCTGAAAGGTGTGTGAAGAAAGAACTAAGGACCTCCCCTTTGGCAGCAGTAGTTCCAGAGAGGTGAGTGCCAAAGGGCCAGATACTTGAGTCTTCAAAAGGAGGAGGAACCAGGGACTGTAGGATCCATCTGCAAGAGATGCTTATCATGGAAATGGGGTTGGGGAACTGCACATACTCCTTTGCTCGGCTGAACTTTTATTGAGCACCTCTGATTGTGCCAAGTAGAGAACTAATTGCTGGAGAGAGAAAAAAAAAAAAAACAGATACTGCCTTGTGTCTGCCCTTAAGGAGCTCATAGTTGAGTGGAGAGTATTCCGTGTTGGGAAATAGAGGCTATGGACTCTTTCCCTTCTCTTCCCTTCACAGTGATGAAGAGGGGCCTTCTCCTGCCCCAGACGGCCCTGGGCCACCGTTTGCCTTCAACCTGGACAGCGACACAGATGAGGAAGAAAGTCAGCATCCAGCAGCAGGAGAGTCCTCCTTAGCTGCCAGAGGAGGCTCCACTGCAGAGACACAACAGCCTAAAGCTGTGGCAACTGAAATCCAGCTTGAAAAGGATCAGTGTTCAGTGAAAGAGAGGAACAATGATACCAAAGTTGAGAGGGATGCAAGGAATGGGGTGGTCCCACTTGGGGCCACTCTGGAGAGAAACCAAACTGCTGGGGAGGACAGTGACACAGATGTGGATGAAAGCAGGCCTGCTGAGGTCCATTTGGAAAGGGCCCAGACTTCTGGCTTCATAGACAGTGATACTGATGTGGAAGAAGAAGGGATCCCCGCAACCCCAGCTGTAGTTCCTATGAAAAAGAGGCAAATCTTCCATGGAGATAGTACAAAGAGTCCTCAGGCACCTGCTTTGGTACATCTACAGGAGAGCCCAGCTGGTAGTGATACAGATGTGGAGGAACGTGAGCTCCAACTGGCAGTCCCTTCGGAGGGAAACCAAGCCTCCGTGGTGATTGACAGCAATACAGATGCTGAGGAAGAGGTCTTAGCAGCGCTCACTTTGGCACGTCTGAAAGAGAGCCGAGTCGATACATGGAAGAGAGAGAGAGATGCGGAACAGGATAGGGCCCAGCCTGTGGCCCTTCTGGAGCGAAGCCAAACCTCTGCTGGGAGAGACAGTGACACAGACGTGGAGGAGGAGGGGCTCCCAGTAGAAAAGAGAGGAACTGTTCCTAAGTGTCATACAGACAAGGCACATTCAGAAAAGAGGCAGTCTCCTCTCCGAGACAGTGATTTAGGGGTGGACAAAGATAAGAGCTCATTTGGGGTCCACCTGGAGAGAAGCCAAGCCTCTGCCACAGTGGACATCAACACACAAGTGGAGGAGAAAGTCCTATCAGGGCCAGCTGTTATACTGGTGGAGAAGCATCAGGTGCCTATGGTGTGGACAAATCAAACAGATGTGGAAGTAGAAGGGGGCCAAGCAAAGCTGCCTGTGGTGCATCTGGAGGAAGCCCAGCCTCCTCCACCTGGGGACTGTGAGATAGATGCAGAAGAGGGCACATCTTTAGCAGCCTCAGTGGTGGCAGATGGAGGAAAGTGCGAGCTTCCGGCAGAAGGGGATGCTGGGACAGAATGGGTTGCAGCTGTTCTTGAGCGGGAGAGGGCTCTTGAGGCGAGAGCCCAGGGTGAGTCCCTTGTGTCACAGGTGGAACAGGATCTTCTCCCTGTCTCGAGGGAGAACCTTACAGATCTGGTGGTGGACCCAGGTACTTCAGGGGAACCCATCCAGGCACAGAGAGAGGGAGCCCAGACCCCCACAGAAAGGGAGAGAGAACCACATGTGGACAAGACCAAGGACTCTGGGGACAACCATGGGGGTAAGTGCTGGCCTTCCTCCCTTGACCCCTAAAAGAAAGAATGCTTATAGGGTATCTTAGTCTATTTGGGCTGCTATAACAGAACACCATAGGCTGAGTAGTTTATAAACAACAGAAATTATTTCTCATAATTGTGAAGGCTGGGAAGTCCAAGATCAGAGTGCCAAGATAGTCATGTTCTGGTGAAGCCCTGCTTCCTTGTTCATAGGCACTGTCTTCTCCCTGTGTCCTCACATGACAGAGGGGCACAAAGGGAATGATGGGGTCTCTTTTAGAAGGGCACTAGTCCCATTCATGTGGGTTCTACCCTCATGATCTAATCATCTCCCAAAGAACTCAGCTCCTAATAAAATCACATTGGGAATTAGGTTTCAACATAGGAATGTGGGTGGGGATACAGACATTCGGTCCATTGCAGAGGGCTTGGGGTTGGGGAGAAAACGGTAGAGAAAGAGTAAGGAGTTAAGCTTCAGATACGACTTTTTTTTTTTTTTTTTAAGGTTTTATTTATTTGTCAGAGAGAACAGCTGCAGGGCAGAGGGAGAAGCAGGCTCCCCGCTGAGCAGGGAGCCCAATGTGGGACTCGATCCCCAGGACCCTGGGATCATGACCTGAGCCGAAGGCGACACTTAACCGACTGAGCCACCCAGGTGCCCCAGATACGACTTTTATTATCTATCTTATATTCTTCCCCTCCCAGATTCTGAAGACCTGGACCTACAGGCTACCCAGTGCTTTGTGGAGAGAGACAATCAGAGCCCAGAAGGTGAGGACATCCACATCATATGGATGTTGGCGCAAGTGGGAGCTGGGAGCCCAGACTGGTGGTCCTTGAAGGTTGTGAAAACAGGCATGGGTGGGGCAGGAGGCCAGGAATGGGACCCAGAGTTCTGTAGAGGAGCTGTGCTTGAGCCAGCTTTTCTTGTGCAGCAGTCCAGAGCATGGAGGATGAAGCTACCCAGGCCTTCCTGGTTACTCTACCCCAGGAGCCTGGCCCTTCCTGTTGCCGTATCCAGGCCCCAGGTATAAGAAACTCTATCCTTCATGCCCCTAACTTGGCATCATTGCTTTTTTCCTCTACATGTTTCTTTCATATTCTTTGACTCTTTTGTTAATGTTTTTCCATCTCCATCATTTTTTAAAAAGCTGCTATGAGAACTTCTGTATGCATGTGGGGTCCTAACTTAGACAAATACTAAATGTTGTGATTGTCCTCTTTATTCCCAACTTTCCTTTAACAATCCACTTAGGTTTATTATTGGTGAATTTTTTCTTTTAAAGATTTTATTTATTTATTTGAGGGAGAGAGAGAGTACACCCACACGAGTGGGGGGGGGAGCAGAGGGAGATGGAGAAGCAGGGTCCCCGCTGAGCAGGGAGCCCAATGTGGGGCTCGATCCCAGGACCCCGAGATCATGACCTGAGCCGAAGGCCGATACTTAACTGACTAAGCCACCCAGGTGCCCCTGTTATTAATGAGTTTATCTTAATCTTTTCTCAACCTATTACATTTTCGATCTGCATTTCTCTCTCTCTCTCTCTCTTTACTTCCAGGTGCCCTGGATGAGCCGTGGGAAGTCTTGGCAACACAGCCATTCTGTCCGAGAGAGTCTGAGGCCTCTGAGCCCCAGCCCATTGCTGCCCGTCTTGATGCCCATGGATCTTGCCCCTCTGCACCTAAGACAACACCACAAGCCCAACATCCAGAGAGCCCAGTTCATGAAGAGCCACTGGGGATTCGAGGCAGAGGGATGCAGACTGTGGAGAAAGACATGGGTACACCAAGAGAAGCAGCAGAGGGGGTGGCCCCTGAGAGAGGACTATTGAACAGGGAAACCAAGAACCTGCTAGCGGGAGAGAGAGAAGATGTGACAGGAGAAGAAGAATTAACCAGAGGGAGACAGGTGTTAGCTAGAGATAATCAGGAACAAGAGTCTGACCAAAAGGTGAAAAGTACAGGTATTAAAAGGAATATGGAGGGTTTCAACACAGAAATGGAGATACCCAGGGAAGTACAAGAGGAAGAGATAGGAAAGCAGACTCCTGCAAGAGAAATATTTGAGAGAGAAGCAAAGAAACTAGTACTAAAGAGAGGGGGTGAGTCAAGTGTATTAGGCGTTGAGGTACCAGAAGTAAAACTGGAGAGAGGCCCCCAGAGAGGGGAGACAGAGAAAGGGAGCCAGGACAAGGGAGGGCAGGCCTCCAGTCTAACACCAGAGCCTAGAGCAGGGACGGGGGACCATCAGGGACTTGCTTCAGCCCCAGGAGCTTCTGGGAGCCAGTCAGGTGGAGCCCCCATGAGCCCCAGGAGGCAGCAGAGAGGTAAGTGAAGGCAGAGGGAAACCCAAGGCGGTGCACAGCCCTTGTGCTACTCAACCCCTAAGTGTCTGACTGCTTAGACCTCAGCTCCACTTGTTTTTACTTTCTGTCTAGGCCACTTGACTTGCAAGATGCCACCTGCTGAGAAGGCCTCTGCGGTGAGAGCTGCTTTTTCTACCTCTGTTCACTGCCCCTTCCCCTGACCTTGCTTTAATCTCCTCCTCAATCTTCCCAATTTTCTTCGGTTGTCACCACTCCTTAGTTGGCTTCTGTGTCTTTCCTTTCACCCCTGTCATTTTCCATATCTGTTTCCCAAGTTCTGTCTGCCTCTGCCTGACTCAGAATGTCCATTTTTTCATGTCTTTTCCCTCTTTTTCCAACCATCCTCTTATTACCATCAGCCATCTGTGGAGAACACTATGCTGGCATGAGGAGAGGTCTGTGGGAGCGAGGACTGCTCCCACAGGAAGTTCCCAGTCTCATGGAAGGGAGGTCATAGACAAGTGAAATGCCAGGAACACACTCTAACCATACCCAAGTATTAAGAACATATCCAAGTACTGTCTCTCTTCTCTCTGCCTCTTCCTCCCTCACTTGCTTCTATTTCTCCTCAGGGTGATCAGGAATCCGCAGATGCTTGTCTGCCTCCTGCAGTGCCTGAAGCCTCAACCCCACACCACAACCCCCTCCTCTCTCAGAGTCAAAAACATCCTGTGCCCCAGCCCTTCCTTTCTCCCTCTCCATCTTCTTCAGAGCTCATTCCCAGGACCAGACAAAATGGGAATCAGGAAGTTCCAGAGACTCCCTTGTCCTCAGAGATGGAGCCTCTCCACCCAAAATCCAAAGTCAGGCTCCGAGGGTCCTCCAGGAAGACACCCTCTGCAGTTTCTTCTTTAGCCCTTGAACCTCACTCTCCCATCCCCACAGACCAGCCCCTCAGTCCTGAGCTCCCATCTCGGGTCACTCGGGGCAGGACACGTAGGTCCTCTGTCAAGACCCCTGAACCAGTTGTCCCCTCAGCCCCTGAGCTCCAGAATTCCGCTTCCAAAGACCAGCCTGTTACCCCTGAGCCCACATTGCAGGTCACTCGGGGTCGGGCACATAGGTTCTCTGTCAAGAGCCCTGAACCAGTTGTTCCTATAGTCCCTGAAGTCCAGCCTTCCACCTCCAGAGAGCAGCCTGTCACTGCTGAGCTTATCTCTCAGGGCAGGACCCGTAAATCTGTCAAGACTCCTGAACCGGTTGTCTCCACAGCCACTCAGGGCAGGGCACGTAGGTCTTCTGTCAAGACTCCCAAACCAGTAATCCCCTCAGCCCCCAAGCTCCAGCCTTCTACTTCCACAGACCAGCCTGTTACCCCTGAGCCCACATCGCAGGTCACTCGGGGCAGGACACGTAGGTCCTCCATCAAGACTCCTGAACCACCTGTCCCCACAGCCCCTGAAACCCAACCTTCCACCTCCACAGACCAGCCTGTCATCACTGAGCCCACATCTGGGGCCACTCACAGCAGGACACACAGGTCTTCTGTCAAGACACCTGAACCAGTTGTCCCAACAGCTCCTGAAGTCCAGCCTTCCATCCCCACAGACCAGCCTGTCACTCCTGAGCCCACATCTCGGGTCACTCGGGGCAGGACACGTAGGTCCTCTGGCAAGACCCCTGAACCAGTTGTCCCCTCAGCCCCTGAGCTCCAGACTTCCACCTCCAAAGACCAGCCTATCATCCCTGGGCCCACATCTGGGGCCACTCACAGCAGGACACACAGGTCTTCTGTCAAGACCCCTGAGCCAATTATCCCAACAGCTCCTGAAGTCCAGCCTTCCATCCCCACAGACCAGCCTGTCATCCCCAAACCCAAATCTCAGGGCAGGACGTCCAGGTCTTCTGTCAAGACCCCTGAGCCAGTTGCCCCCACAGCCCCTGAGTTCCAGCCTACCACCCCCAGAGGCCAGCCTGTCACCCCCAAACGTACATCTCGGGGCAGGACACCTAGGTCTTCTAGCAAGACCCCCAAATCAGTTGTCCCCACAGTCCCTGAGCTCCAGGCTTCCACCCCCACATACCAGCCTGTCACCCCCAAACTCCCATCTCAGGCCACTCGGGGCAGGACACAGAGGTCCTTTGTCAAGATCCCCCAACCAACTGAGCCCACAGCCCCTGACCTTGAATCTCTCACCCCCACAGATCAGCTGGTCACCCCCAAGGCTCAGGGTAGTCAGGATAAGACACTGAGGTCTTCTACAATAAGTGCTGTGCCAGTTCTTACCACCCCTGAATTCCAGTCTTCTGTGCCCACAGACCAGCCTATTCCCCCTGAGCACATTCCTCAAGCCAGTTGCCGCAGGAGGCTGAGGGCCACTGGGAAGTATGAGTCCCTCAGGGCTCCCATTGTCCGTGAGCCCTACTCTGCACTCCCTGAACCTAAATCTCGGTCCTCAAGGAACCAAAGACCAGGAGCAGTGAGAGTAGTTGAGTCCCGCAGGACCATTCCCAAGCCTGCCTTTGCCCAGCTTCCTGAGGCCCCCACTCATACTACCCAGATCCAAAAGGTAGAGGCGGCAGGAAGATCTGCGGTCACCCCAGAGCCCCTGCCTAAGGCCTCTCAGACCCGGAAGAGGCCTTTGGCTACTGTGGATTCACCCCCACTTCAAAAACGGCTCCAAAGAGGGGAAGTCACCCAGAAGACAGTTTTCCTCAAGGAAGAGGAAGGAGATCTAACGGAGAGGCCAAGGAAGGAGGAGGTGAGGAGAGGGCCGGGGCCGTGAAGCTAGGAAAGGGCTTAGGGGCTCAGAAACTCCCAGCAAGATCTTTCTCAATCCCAGGATGTAGTGGTTCCAGGACCAGGCAAGAGAAAGAGAGACCAAGCAGAGGAGGAGCCCAAGGGAATCCCAAGCCGCAGCCTTCGAGGGACCAAACCTAACCAAGAGTCCACAGCCCCGAAAGTAAGAGAGAAGGGACATGGGGCTTGGTGGGAGACAGACATGGGAGGATGGGAGGAGACCTAGGGCTTTGGAGACAGGCACTGATGGCATGGGTTGCTGTGACCAGCTCAGGTTAACCCCTTCCACAGGTACTCTTCACAGGAGTGGTGGATGCCCGTGGAGAGCGGGCAGTGCTGGCCCTGGGAGGGAGTCTGGCCAGCTCAGTGGCAGAGGCTTCCCACTTGGTGACTGATCGAGTCCGACGCACGGTCAAGTTCCTCTGTGCCCTGGGGCGGGGGATCCCCATCCTCTCCTTGGACTGGCTGCACCAGGTGAGAGTCTAAGAGGTGACATACCATCAGAGATACTGATGGCGAAAGACTACTCACGTGGTGCTCTAGAAAGTAGTGGGGGGAAGGGGGTACAGGAAGACAAGGGAGGTGAGTGAGGCGGAAAGCTTAATTCAAAGAACATATCATAAGCTCCTTCCAAATGCTGGCAGAAGAGCTGGGTGGTGGGCTGGGCTGAGCTTTGGTGCTGACTGCTACTGTCCTTAGTCTCGCAAGGCTGGTTGCTTCTTGCCCCCGGATGAATATGTGGTGACTGATCCTGAGCAGGAGAAGAACTTTGGCTTCAGCCTTCGAGATGCCCTGAGCCGGGCTCGGGAGCGAAGGTTGCTGGAGGTGAGAGGCTGCCTTCTGCCCCATGCTTCAGCCTTCCCTCCAGAGGCTCCGCAGCTGTTCATGGCCTCTCAGTGCATACATTTATGGCCTCCAACATTCTCTTCCTCCTAGGGCTATGAAATCCACGTGACCCCAGGAGTCCAGCCACCACCACCTCAGATGGGAGAGATCATCAGCTGCTGTGGAGGCACTGTTCTACCCAGCATGCCCCGGTCCTATAAGGTATGGGTAGTATGTTTTGGATCTGGTGAGGTGGCACTTAAAGAGGTGGCTGGAATGGGAAAAGGTTGGAGAACCAAACAGGTACGGATGGGAACACAGGAGTAGTGAGAGGGTGAGGGGAAGCTTTGTAGTGTGTAAAGGGATAGGAATGAAGAAGTCTGCTGATTCCGAGTGGATTTATTTTCATTTTGTATTTTAAAATTTTCCAAATATCCACAAAGGGAGAGAGAATCTCTATTATCAACGAACCTCCATACATCAGTCATTCAGATTTTTTTTTTATTTTTAATTTTTTTAATTTTTTTTATTTAAAGATTTTATTTATTTGACAGAGAGAGAGAGACAGCGAGAGAGGGAACACAAGCAGGGGGAGAGGGAGAGGGAGAAGCAGGCTTCCCGCCGAGCAGGGAGCCCGACGCGGGGTTCGATCCCAGGACCCTGAGGTCATGACCCGAGCCGAAGGCAGTCGCTTAACCAACTGAGCCACCCAGGTGCCCCAGTCATTCAGATTTAACAAGGTAGTTTAGACTTTGCTACATTTTCTCCATTTATTGCTTTTTTTCTTTTTCTTTGCTGAACTATTTTAAAGGAAACTGCAAACATCATATTATTTCCCCCTACATATTTAAAGTATACTTTTCTAAGAAATTATGTACTTTTTTTTTTACATAATCACGATGCCATTATTTTTTTTTTTTTTAAGATTTTTTATTTATTTATTTGAGAGAGAGAGAATGAGAGATAGCACGAGAGGGAAGAGGGTCAGAGGGAGAAGCAGACTCCCTGCTGAGCAGGGAGCCCGATGTGGGACTCGATCCCGGGACTCCAGGATCGTGACCTGAGCCAAAGGCAGTCGCTTAACCAACTGAGCCACCCAGGCGCCCTCACGATGCCATTATTGATCCATAACAAAATTAACAATAGTTTCTTGGTCATTTTCTTACACTCCATTAGACAGATTTCTCCAGTTGGCCAAAAATGTCTCTTTACGGTTCAAGTCAGGATTCAAACGAGATCCATGTATTGCCACAATTGCATATCTCTTAATTTTCACTTACTCTATCCCCCAACCCACCCAGCCTTTTTTTTTATTCCATTGACTTCCTACAGAAACTAGGTCAGTGGTTCTTTAGAATGTTTCAGTCTGGGTTTTTCTGTTTTGCTCCTTTACGGTGCGATTTATCTTGTTCTTCTTTTACATTCCTTGTAAACTATAGTTAATTTTAAAAGCTTGAATAAATTCAGGGTCGGCTTTTCTGGCAAGAGTACTTCTGACAAGTATGCTTCATATCAGGAGGTCTATTTTAGTGATGCCGAAACTGATTGGTGGGTTCTGAACCTATTTCTAGGATTCTTTTTCACCCCTAACTTTGTCTCCACTCGCTGTCCTTCCCCAGCCACGGAGAGTTGTGATTACATGCTCCCAGGACTTCGCTCGATGCTCTGTCCCATTTCGGGTTGGCCTGCCCATCCTCTCACCTGAGTTCCTGCTGACAGGAGTGCTGAAGCAGGAGGCCAAGCCAGAGGCCTTCCTCCTCTCCACTTTGGGAATGCCATCCTCCTGAAAACGTCACCACAGTACTCTTTTCCCTCCCAGACCAGTAAATGAAGCGTTAGAAAAGATTTGGAAGAAAGAACCTAGGGCTTTAGAAGGGATTGGGGTATACTGACCTGATTTGTCTTGGAACATGGGTGGGGCTGAAGAGGCTCATGGATAAACAAAAAGATAGGGGGAGTTGGAGCCACTGATTTCTTAAAGGGCCACTTAGAGTTGGGTAATCCCATACTCAGATATCTTAAGTGGCTACCCTTAGCAGGACTGATGTCTTCACTGCTCTGTGGCACACACAGTGTCCTGCCTCTTGTTTGGAAGCCATTTCTCTTCCTCTTTTACTGGGATTCTTACTCGTCCTCTGAAAGAGAGTGGAAACAATTTTAGTGTCAAGAACTTGAAGGGATGCTGGGAGTGGGTAATTTTGAGGTTGGAGTTGTGGAATGCTCTAAAATTTTTTCTTTTTGTTCCACTCCATCTTGATAGAAGTGTTCTTTAGCTTTGACGTTGAGCAAATCTCTACACTTTTCTGGCCTGCTTTCCCAGTATTTATAAAATTAGAGCTTAGGTTTAACCTCTGATAAATAAATATTCACTCTGTGCCTTATGGTGTAGTGCAGTTTTTTTTAACATATTTGAAATTTAAATTTTACTTATTTTTTTATTTTTATTTTTAAAGTAAGCTCTGTACCCAACGTGGGGCTTGAACTCACAACCCTGAGATCAAGAGTCTCACGCTTCACCAGCTGAGCCAGCCAGGTGCCCCTTAAATTAAAAGTTGGTTGATTACAATGATGTGGAGAAATTGGAACCCTTATTAAACATTGCTGGTAGGAAGATAAAATGGTTCAGCTGCTGTGGTAAGTAGTCTTCTCAAAAAATTAGACATAGAATTAGCAAATTAGACATAGAATTACCAAATTACCATACTAATTACCATTAGTAGGCATACACCCAAAAGAATTAAAACTTGTGTTCAAACAAATACTTGTACACAAATATTCATATCAGCACTTCACAAGAGCCAAAAGGTGAAAAGAAAAACGTCCATCAGCAGTTGAATAAATACATGCAGCACACCCATACAATGGAATATTATTCATAGAAGGGGATGAAGTACTGATTCGTGCTACAGTGTTTTGAGGATGAACCTCAAAAGCATTATGCTAAGTGAAAGGAGCCAGACACAAAAAGTCACCTTGGATGATTCTACTTACGTGAAATACCTGGAATAGGTAAATGCATAGAGACAGTAGAGTGGTGGTTGCCAGGAGCTGGGAGAAGGGGAAAATGGGGAGTGACTGCTTAATGGGTACAGGGTTTTATTTTGGAGTGATGAAAATGCTTTGGAACTAGATAGAGATGGTGATTACACACATTATGAATGTATTAAATGTCACTGGATTTTTCTCTTTAGTTAATTTTATGTTATGTGAATTTCACTTTAATAAAAAATGGGTGATTGGTTTGTGCCTTTCCTGCAAGTAAATTATACTTAAGTTTGTAAAACTTTGGTGTAGTAAAATGAGTGCAAGCTTTGCTGACTTTTAACACTGCTGACTTTTAAACATATAAACATGTCTTAATATATATTAAGCACAGCCATTGTAGGTGTGGCACATGGTAGGATAAATAAATGTTAGTCCCCTTGCACAACTCAGAGCCTGTACTGTGTGAAACCTGTCTATGGCCTGGAAGTCCAGGGGATTCCTTACAGTACCAGCTGTCTCTATATCCCCATTTAGCACTCATGTGCACCCTTACTTAGTGACATGGAAATGCCCCAGTTTAAATTTCTGGAGAACAGAGACCTTTTCTTACACTTCCAATAAATACTATAGCTTGTAGCACAAAGAAGTATCTCTGTCACTCAAGGTCCTAGCAGGAAATGATGGCACAGTCAAATTAGGGTAATTTAGAGAGTTTAATAAAGGGAAATTTACAAAGAAGTTGGGAGAGTGTAGAGAAATCCTAATGTTGCAGTACTCCAGTACCCACAGCTCTATTGTGACCACCTCTAAGTCCTAAAGGTTGAGAGGAGGGAGCAGTTTTGCAGAGCGGGCTTCCTCAATAAAAGCTGTGATTTTCATTGATACAGGCCATTCAGGACAACCTCTCGAAGCAGAAAGCAGGGTGGAGGTTGCACCTGGAGGGGAAAATATGTCTGGTAACAGTTTACAACAGCATTGATTAAGAGGAGGGTAGGAGTACTGAGCCTGCGGGAGGAGGAATGTAAAGGCTGTGGGATGCTGCCTGGCAATTTTTTCATTCATGAGCCCACGTGACTAGCAGCAACTTAGTTCTCATCTTGGTAAATTTTCTTTGTTTTTTGTTCTGTCTATAAGCCAAGGGATTTCACTTAATGATGTCTAAGTTCCCTGCTATGGTCATAGCTACTGTGACTAGGTCCTTAGCAACATGATCTTTGATTCTGACAGAGGAAAACCTTACTTTTACTTTGCTTTTCAGATATATTAGTCTAGGTATTACAAACAGGTCTGAAGGAAAAAGTGTTCAGACAAAAGGTCTTAGTGATTTCTCACTAGTATGTGGGGTCAGACTAATAAGCTTGCAGAGTGAAGTCATAGTTAATTATCACAGGCTTGGATAAAAGTAGCCTGCTACAAAGTTTACAACAAATAAAATATTCTATCAAATATTTTAACATTGTTACTCTCATGATTACAAATCAACAGCCTTTGGCATTATTAGAAATAATCTGTGTCAGAGAAGTTTTCTGTCCTCGGCAAGTGGAGAGAGTAAGTTACGGAATAAACCTTACTTTATGGTAAAATAGTCACTAACTCTTTAACAAGATGTTAATAGGTGATTCAGAGCTTTGGGTTCTCAGCCTAGGTCAACAATCTTCCGTTCTCTCACCGTTTATTATTGAAGTGTTAACTGAGGCTTTGTAACCTCCGACTCTGGCTAGGTTTTCTGGCTAAGGTTACAGAAAAGGGGACTCATAATTCTCGGTTTCTACAAGAACCCTGAAAGAGAGGAACTGTCTTCATTTTAGATGAGACAACCAGCCGAGCTGCGACTCAACCCACACCAGTGGCTGCAGAGCCGCTGCCCTTTCCTCTTGTCACTCGGAATTCTAACTTTCCCTTTTGTGACGCAGCGACTGCTGGCTCCGTAAAGGCACCCAGGACCCGCCCTGCGGGCAGAGAAAAGGGCGCGCTGTGGGCGTGAGCCCTGGCCTTTGAGCGAGGGCGCCCCGCCTTCCTGGGCAGGGACCCTGGGAGGGGGCGGGGGCGGGGCGGGGCCTGTGGCCGCGGGAATCCCAAGCCCGTCCCCTTCCCCACCCCTCCGTGTGTCGCCATGGCCCCAGCTCTGCTCCTGATCCCTGCCGCCCTCGCCTCTTTCATCCTGGCCTTTGGCACTGGAGTGGAGTTCGTGCGCTTTACGTCTCTTCGGCCACTTCTTGGAGGGATCCCGGAGCCTGGTGGTCCGGGTGAGCGGGAGGGATCGAGGATGAGCTCTGGGGCTGGAGGTGGAGCCGGACGAGAGGGAGGGAGGGCGGGGCCTGGAGACAAATGACAGGGGAAGTCCGGCAGAGGGAACTAGAACCTGGAAGCCGGAGAAGCCGGAGAAGCTTCAGGGCAGACCAGAGAGCTAAATTAGGAACTCAGGGATTAGAGGTTTGGAGAGGCAAGAGAGTGAGGACTGAGTGGGGTGGAAAAGGGCGATAAGCGGAGGAAAGGAAAGTGCTTTTAAGGAGAGGACTATGGAGCGGAGAGTGTTCAAAAGAGGGAGCATTTGGAGTACCGAAAGAAGAGGGTCAGTCCAACGGTTGCCTCTCCAGCCGTGCTTTTTGTGACTATATGGGAATCTTCCTCCCCACTCTGAAGGAGGAAGAAGCAGGGAATGGAAAAGCAAGGTGGGCAAAGCCTGGAGAGGAAGCATTAAGGGGACATGGCCTGGGGCCCCATAAAGAGAGCAGGATTGGGGGTGTTTCCCACAACCCTCTTGATCTTTTGTCCCTTTCTTCAACTCCCCCTAGATGCCCGCCAGGGATGGCTGGCTGCCATGCAGGACCGCAGCATTCTTGTCCCCCTGGCTTGGGATCTGGGTCTCCTCCTACTATTTGTGGGGCAGCACAGCCTCATGGCAACTGACACAGTGAAGGCGTGGATGTCTCGATATTTTGGGGTCCTTCAGAGGTCACTGTATGTCGCATGCACTGCCCTGGCCTTGCAGGTATGAGGCTTTGGCCACTGAGTCCCAGGGGAAACTATCTGTGAGAAGAGTGTCCTAGATTGGAGGGGCAAGGACCTTAGCCTTCTGAAAATGTGGGTTTAGGACGAGAACGAGGGTGTTCAGCACTCTCATCTCAGCTTCCATTCCTCCGCAGCACATATCCTCCTTATCAAGAATGGTGTACCTTTCTTCATTCCCCAAGCAGATATGTGCATTCTCACCTTTGCAACTTTGTTCATGTTGTTCTGCTTGAGATCCCCTCGGTAACACCTCTTTCAGTGCTATCCTTTCTTCAAAACCACTTCCCTAGGTTTCAAGAGAAGGCTTCCCAGTTAGCATTCATTTGTCTTCTCAGTGAGTGCTTGGCATAAGCTACTTTATGTACCTATCCAGTCACCCCATCCGTTCTGCAAGTCCTCAGGGTAGATACAGGTCATCCTTACATCCTTGGGACCCCACCTAGCACCCTCTCTGTGGTGACTGTTTGTTTGTGATGCTCATGGTGGAGGTGCAGAGAGGTGCAGACCAGCCTGGGGTGGCGGGGGGCAGCCTCTGGGTCTAGGTCTTTCAAGGGTAGGCTGCTGAGATACCCAACCGCTCATCGTTCCCCAGCTGGTGATGCGGTACTGGGAACCTGTACCCAGAGGCCCTGTGTTGTGGGAGGCTCGGGCTGAACCATGGGCCACCTGGGTGCCCCTGCTCTGCTTTGTGCTCCACGTCATATCCTGGCTCCTCATCTTCAGCATCCTTCTCGTCTTTGACTACGCCGAGCTCATGGGCCTCAAACAGGTGAGGCTGCCAGATTCCTACCTGAGACCTATGATTCCTTCTAGAATGCCTTTTTCCCTTCTAAGGATTTCCCTCCTCCTTCTCCCATGCGCTTCCACCTTCCTCTTCTTTCAACTCCCTCACCTACTTCCCTTTCTTATAAGATAGTCTCCCCTCAGCTTTCTGTCGAAGGCCTGAAACCATGGGCTTCCTGGGACTGGGGAAGGTTCATGAGCCACAGAGATGAGGATCAGGGGCCCAGGTCTCAGAAGGGTGGTTCTTGGGCCTGAGTTACAGAAGGGAAAGTTTCCTGGAAGGGGAGGAAAGAGGTAACTAAGTTGCAAAAGGGGCTTGATCCCATTTCTAAGCTGTTCTCCCTCCTAGGTGTACTACCACGTGCTGGGGCTGGGTGAGCCTCTGGCCCTGAAGTCTCCCCGGGCTCTCAGACTCTTCTCCCACTTGCGCCACCCAGTGTGTGTGGAGCTGCTGACGGTGCTGTGGGTGGTGCCCACCCTGGGCACTGACCGCCTCCTCCTTGCTCTCCTCCTTACCCTCTATCTGGGCATGGCTCACGGACTTGACCAGCAAGACCTCCGCTACCTCCGGGCCCAGTTACAAAGAAAACTCCACCTGCTCTCCCGGCCCCAGGAAGGTGAGGCCGAGTGAGGAGCTAACCTGGTTCCAAGCCCTGCACTTCCTCTCCTTTAACATCCAGGCCCTGGCTGCTTCAGACCAGAGGCCCAAATCTATGGACTGAAGGGGCTATCCCTTCCCCTGCTGGAGCCTCCACTCCTTGGGCCGAGCTCCATACCCTAAATTCTGAGTTTCAACCACTGGACTCCAAGATCTACTTTTTACCAGCCAGGAAGAGGGGGTGGGGAACTTACCTGTCTCCTCACAGTTTAGGGCTTGACTCCTCCCCCCCCCCACCTTAAGAACCTCCTTATAAGGAAGAAGGGTGGGCCTAACCACTTCCCTCCCACTGTTACTCCCTTCTGCACCTCAGGGATCCCCTTCTCCTCCTCTGGCTTCCCTTTCTAGGAGTGGTACTAAGGTCTGCAGGTTTGATGGTAATGCCTGCCCTTCCAGGCTCCAAGTGCCAGCCCCCTGGCTAGCCTTGCCATCTCCTTAGGCCCTGGCCCTGGGCTCTGTCCTCTAACCTAGTTGAGAGGATCCTCCCACTCTTCATTTTGGGTGACTAAGAGCTCTCTGCTGTCCTGAGGAACACGCGCAGCAGAAAAATAAAATGCAGCCTGTTTTTTCTACATATGATATGCAGTCTATCAGTGTCTCTGTAGCTAGAGGGTTGACTTTGGGAGGGAAGGCTAGCGGAGCCCGGGCACGCCAAACTCGAGTCTGGGCAGCCACCGCGCCCTCTGGCGACCGCTGGGCGGCGGCCACTCCGGCAGACCCATCCCCACCTCCCCAGGGCGGCCCAGTCCCCCTTCCTCCAAATCCCCCAACTTCCCTCGCTGCAGACCAGGGGACCCATGGGAGACAGGTTGAAGCTAAAGAGTGGGGCAGCGGCTCAGGTGGGGGAGCCAGTTTCCATGGCCGTTGGCTTCTGAGTACCTCTCCTGCCACCCCGCTCTCCACGGGCCCACCACAGCCTGGTGGCGGCCCTGGACCCCGCAGTAACAAAGGCTGGCCGGGGGAGGCGAAAGCGTGGGGAGGAGCGGCAGGAGATGGGAAGGGCGGGCCCGGCTGTAGCAGCTGCTGCTTCCTCTGCAAGTCCCTCGAGGGGCCTGAGTCACGGGCGGCTGCCTTGGGTCGGCGAGCTCGGGGCGAGGGTCCGGACACCTGGGTTCTCCAGGGCTACCGAGAGGGAGCGGGGTGGGGTCCCCGGGGACAGAAATGGAGGGCCGGGGGTTGAGGCGGGAGAAGGGGAGTCCGCGACCCTAGCCCCACGCGGGGCGTCTCTGCAGCGAGGCCCCGCCCCTCGGGCCCCGCCCCGCGCCCCCTTCCCTCTCCCCATTGTCCTCAGACAAAGCGGTCGCCGCCCCCCGCCCGGCCCCCAGGTCTCTGTCTGCGTCCCTCCTCCTCGACTCCCTCTTTCCCTCCTCCTCCTCTCCTTCCCTCCTCCCCTCCCTCCTGTCTCCGGATCTCCCTCGGTCCCACTCTCCTCCTCTTCCTCTCTCCTCCTCCCTCCGGACGCCAGGCTGCTCCGCACCCCCTCCCCTGGGAGCCCCGCTGGCTTGTGAGTTGACTGAGGGGCTTCAGACTTGGGGAGGGGGTGTCTCCTGCCTCCTGTCCCCGGCCCGGACCTTGGGCTGTCTCCTCTTTGTGCCGAGATTGCCTGTCTGAGCGGTCCGAGCTGGGTGGGAATGGCCGGCTATGTCAGGGTTCCCTGAGAGCGGAGACCCGGGCGTTGGACTGGCAGGCTCGGGAGAGCAGAGCCGTGGAGCGGGTCCTCCGCACGCCACGGCCCCGGGCCCGGCCGGTGGGAGGCAGGCGGCGGGGACGGGACGGGGTGGGGGTGGACGCCAGGGTTCTGGGAACGTGCTGGCAGTCCAGACACCCGGGTTCCGAAAGTCCCCAAGGGAGGGTATTCCCCCCTCCCCCCCCCCCGCCCCGAGCTGCCTTGGGGGCGGAGTGCCGGGTGGCGGCTGGGGGGCCGGGGAGGCGTGGCCGGAGCGGAGCTGGGAGGGGAGCCGGGACCTCCCGAGCCCGCGCTGAGACGCGCCCGGGCGCCCGCGGAGCTCCATTTCCCCTCTGCCCCCTGATTCCCCTGCTCCCCTAGACCTCTCCATTCCCCGCCCCTCCTCACCTCCCCGACACCCCCTCAGGTCCCACCACCCCCTCTCGGGTGGGATTCCCTGATCTCCCTTTCCACTCTAACCGCCTCTGGGGTAACGGTGGGGAAACCTCGCCTGAACCCTACCCCCCTCACCCCCGACCTCTCTTTTCTCTCTCCTCTCTCATTACGACTTATTTTTCCGCCCTCCTCTCCTCTCACATCCTTGGGACTGTCTCTGATACCACTAACCCTGCGCTGCCAAATCTGACTCCTGCCTTTTTGCCCCGAATCTCTACTCTTCCTCTCAGGGCCACGACCCCACCCCCACTTGGCCCACAGCTTTTTCACTTTCTGTTTTCCCCTTTCTTTGCCCTCCATCTTCTCACTCCTTCCGTCTGTCTTTACCCTCAGCTCCTGTGCCCATCTCTGTGTCCCACCTCTCCCCCTCTACTTCCTCTCCCCCCACCCCCAGTCTCACCCCCTGGAGCCTCTCTTTCCTGTTGTCTGGCCCCAGCACTCCCCACCCTCACCTCAGCGCGACCATGGCCACCATCCCAGACTGGAAGCTACAGCTGCTAGCCCGGCGCCGGCAGGAGGAGGCAGCCCTTCGTGGCCGGGAGAAGGCAGAACGGGAGCGTCTGTCCCAGATGCCAGCCTGGAAGCGGGGGCTCCTGGAGCGCCGCAGGGCCAAGCTTGGTCTGTCTCCTGGAGAAGCTAGCCCTGCACCTGGGACTACAGAGGTTGGACCTCCAGACCCAGATGAGTCGGCCGTCCTCCTAGAGGCCATTGGGCCGGTGCACCAGAACCGATTCATTCGGCAGGAGCGCCAGCAGCAGCAGCAGCAGCAGCAGCAGCGGAATGAAGAGTTACTTGCAGAGAGAAGGCCTGGGCCTTTGGAGGCCCGCGAGCGGAGACCCAGCCCTGGGGAGATGCGGGATCAGAGCCCCAAGGGAAGAGAGTCAAAAGAAGAGCGGCTCAGTCCCAGGGAGGCCAGAGAGAGGAGGTTGGGGATAGGGGGAGCCCGAGAGTTGAGCCCCAGGCCCTCAGAGGCTTTGGACTGGAGGCAGAGCCCAGGAGAGGCTGGAGACAGGAGCTCCAGACTGTCAGAGGCCCGGAAATGGAGGCTGAGCCCCGGAGAAACTCCAGAGTGGAGTCTGAGACTGGCAGAGCCTGGAGAACAAAGCCCCAGGAGAAAAGAGGTGGTGGAAAGTAGACTGAGCCCAGCAGAGTCTGACAACCAGAAGTTGGGGCTGACAGAGTCGCATAAATGGAGGCTTGACTCTGGAGAGTCTCAGGAACAGAGTTTGGTACAACTGGAGGCATCAGAGTGGAGGCTGCGCTCAGAAGAAGAAAGAAAAGACTGTTCAGAGGAATGTGGGAGAAAAGAAGAGAGACCAATTCCAAGGCTGGCCTCAGAAGAGGTTACAGAGCTGCCGGAGACCCTGACAAGGGAGGCTCCAGACAGCAGCTCCGGAGAAGTGGAGGCAGCAGAGCAGAGGCCCAGCCCTGTGGAGGATGGTGAGAGGGGCCTGAGGCTGACAGAAGGATGGAAATGGACCCTGAACTCTGGAAAGGTTCGAGAATGGACACCCAGGGACACAGAGACTCAAACTCAGAAACCAGCCCCCCCAGAGTCTGCTGAGAAGTATCTGGGGCCTCTTGGTACCGAGGCTGGAGAAGGGGAGGCTGAGAAGGAGAAGGCGGGGGCTCAGGGCAGGCCTCTGAGAACCCTGCAGAACTACAGCTCTGTGCCCTCCCCCTTCCCACCAGAGCACGCTGGGACTGGAGGCTCTAGAAGGCAGGAAGAGGAAGCAGTGGATCTCCAGCCCCCACCAGCAGCCCCTCTGTCTCCCCCACCCCCAGCCCCACCTGCCCCCCAGGCCCCTGGGGATCCCCTCATGAACCGTCTGTTCTATGGGGTGAAGGCAGGGCCAGGGGTGGGGGCCCCTCGCCGCAGTGGACACACCTTCACAGTCAACCCCCGGCGGTCCGTGCCCCCTGCAGCCCCCAGCACCCCCAGCACTCCCGCTACCCCGGCCACAGCTGATGCGGCAGTCCCTGGAGCTGGGAAGAAGCGGTACCCGACTGCCGAGGAGATCTTGGTTCTGGGGGGCTACCTCCGCCTCAGCCGCAGCTGCCTTGCCAAGGGGTCCCCTGAAAGGCACCACAAACAGGTAGGGAGCAGCCAAGCCAGACTTCTCAGAGGTCCGCTCCTCAGTTCTCTCTAGCCGGCCTCCTTTCTTTTTTATATCCCTGTATTCTTGTCCTCCTCTATTCTTTCTTGTTAATTCCTGCCACCACCTTTCCTCCTCTACACACACCCTTCCTTCTTATAGAGTTCATTTTCCATTCATTTCCAAGCCCAAGGATCCTGCCCCAAATCAAGTGCTGCCCCTGGGTGTGTCTCACAGGGTGTGCCCAGGCTGCTCACTCTTCATTCCCTCAGGCTCTGGATCCCACCTTCCCCGCCCCCTCAGCTCCCCCCTCACCCCCTCCGGCCCGCCCCATTTCTTCCCTTCCTTTCCTCTGAGTCTGTGACCGAACACAGCCCTTCTGGTGGGAGACCTGAACCAAGGCTACAGCCTAGAATCTGTGAGAGCAGGGTCATCAGGTTGAAAGCACATACAGCCTTCCAAGGGAGTGAATGTTGGGGCAGGAAGCCTCAAGAGGCACAGGGGGTGGCTTTGGGGTTCTAGGGAGAAATGGCAGGGAGAAGTGAGTGGAGGAAGGTCTCAGTCCCAAGGCAGAGAGAGGCCAGAGCTGAACGAGGAGACGTCCTAGGGTGGGGGCGGGGGCATGGAATAGGGCTGGAGAGCAGAGAGAAGACTTTTGAACCCCGAGTCTGCTCCATGGGAGAGGCACACACAGAGGCCGTTTGAAGTGGGTGACCTCAGGGTTGCACACCCCCAGCTGGGCCACTGCTTTAGACAGTGCTCCCTTCTCTCTTGGGACAAGAAAAGCCTTCTCTTCTTCCAAAATACCCCCGCTCCTTACTCCCCTTCTTCCTTCCTCCCTGGGCTTCCCCTCCCTCCCCAGGACTGGCTCAGCAGTTGGTTTTCCCCTTTTCCCCCCTCTTCCTGCTGCCCTGGCCTCTCCCTCCCTTTGGGGTAGCAGAAGAGAGAAGTGAATTTGGAGGCACGGTGCTGAGAGCAGGGAATACAATGGGAGTTGGGGACAGGGGTGGGGGCTGAGGCCAGCAGAAGGTCAGAGGTTAAAACTGGAAAAAGGACAAAGTGCAGGAAGTGGGAGCAGCCAGGCTTCTTGCCCTGGCTTCAGCCCAACCCCTTCCTTACACACCAACTAGTTTCCAGCTTGAAAATCTCTAAGGAGAGAGAGGTCCCTGCACCTAACACATCTCCCCAGAGACTGGGAAGCCCTTCCTGGTCGCCAGTCCTCATCTCATCTGACATCCTCAGATTTGGTTTTTTTGTGTGTCCTGTCAGTGGGAAACCACAGGGACCAAAGACCTAGATCGAGCTTGCAGGTCACTTGGTCCCCCAATTCATCTTCATGTGAAGCTCACGCTCCCATCCTGAGCCATGGTACCAGAGTCTGTCGTGAGCACTCTGACTGCTGCCAACCCTGTCCCCTTCGGGCTGGGCAGGTGTAAGGAGGTGGGTCCGGAGCTGCCAGGATGAGCTGTTCAGACAAGTCACTTGCTACTGAGGTTGGCCTGTGCCTCTGGGGAGGAAGAGCAGAGGGAGGCATGAAGTTTGGGGCCCAAAGCATATGAGTGCAAGGCAGGACCTGTGACAGTGACCCTACCTAGGTCAGGGAGTAGGGGAGCCGGAAGCAGATCACCCAAACAGGAAGCCTGGGGGTGGGGGCCGGAAGGCTGGTAGGGCTGAGTGGGGAACCGCTGGGCCCTGGGCCTGCCAGAACTGCTCAGGATGTGGTGAGAGAATAAGGAAGCCCTGGCTGCTCTGGGGGTGGGGGTGGGGAGAAGCAGCGCACAGAGTTTTCTAGACCCAGACACCTCCCCCTCCACCCTGTGTCAGGCCTCCTTCCCCTCTCTCTGCACCCTGCTCAGCAGGGACTAGCATGCCTTGTCCCAGCTCTGACCCAACCCACTTGCTTGGGGACCAGAGGACCGCCCCCCCTTCCCTAAATAACTTCTGTTTGCAAGCTAATGCCATCAAACATATCCTTGCCACGGAGAGAGAAATCCCAGCCCTGCCCTGGGGCTGGTGCCCTTCCCCAGAGGCCCTTCTAGCTGAGAGATGGGCTCCTCCCCTCTCTGGCCCCCTTGTGACTTTATATAGCTGATGGGAGAGGAGCAAGTGAGTCACACCCCTCTGTCCCCCCCCACCCCCCCACCCCGCCCCAACTCCCATGCAGTCTGTGCATTCCTGAGAAGCCCAGTCAGAAGTTGGGGCGGGGGTGAGGGGTGGAAGGGGGCGGTGAGGAGAGAAGCAGGGTTGGGGAAGAAAGAAAACATGACTGAGAGCAAATAAAATGAATCCTTTTTCAGAGTGGATAATAAACTGTGGAGCTTGTTATCCCAAAAGGGGATGTGAAAAGAACACAAATGGGTCCCCAGAAGTTTGGGTAACTCTGTCAGTAACAGAACCAGAAGTGATCCCTTTTGAAAAGCTGGGATGTAAGGGGTCTGGTTGCTGTCACTCATTTCTACCAGCAGCTCCACAGACAGACTGTGTACCTCCCGCATTGTCCCCCAGTGTTGATTCTCTCGGGGGACCACATCTGAGGTCTGGACCAACCCTTCCTTACTCCCTATAGCAACTTTCATGCTCTTATGGCCAGCAGACACAAGATCACAAATAAGTAAGTTCTCTGGTATGTTAGAAGGTGGTAAATGATTATGGGGGGAAAAATTAGAACAGGGTAAGTGGAACCTTGAGGGCCAGAAAGTTGGGAGAGTGAATATGAACTTTAAATAGGGTGACTGGGAGACGGGGAGCCATGGAGCTATTTGGGGGAAGAGTGTTCCAGGTAGAAGGAGTAGCCCGTGCAAAGGCCCCAAGACGGGAGTGCCCCTGCTTCGAGGAACCTTGACCAGGGTGGCCAGAGCGAGAGCGGATGAGAGGTGAGGTGGGGCATGGCACAGTGGGACTACCCTGTGTACCTCAGTCAGGCTCTGGCTTTTCCTCCCAGTGAGATGGCCCTACCAGCCTTCCGGCCCCCACCATGGTTTGGAGCCTCAGAGTTCCAGCTTCCCTTGGGGACCCAGGTTTCACATTCCATACAGCCCTTAGCATCCACCTGTCCAGCCACCCTCCCGGCTTCTCTCTTCTCACACCCCGGCCCATGCGGAGATGCAAGGATGCAGGGCCCAAGCCCTGAGTTTCCCAAACAGGTGCCTGGGAAGGTCTGAGTAGATCATCCAGACCTTTCCAAGTAGTTCACATGGAATCCTCCTGTTTGTCTCCTTAATCGCTTTGGCTCCCAGAGTTAATCCCACTCTGCCCCTGCCCCCTGAGCTTCTTAAAAGGGCAAAGGGGAAGGGTAGAAAGGCAGTGAGAAGAGCTGGGGCTCGCCTGCTCTTGGGACAGTGTGTTTGCGGATTTTCTGCCCCCTCCAGGTCCCCTCTGGCCTTTTGCCTGTGTCTCTGTATGCCTCTCCTGGTGCATTCTCCACCCCAACCTGTGTTTGCATGGACTTTCCTCTCTGCCCCTGTCACCTCCCCCAGCTGTACCTTACAGGGACTCAAGGGCCCATCTCCCCTGTGTGTTAGCGGAGAGTTGTTTCCTCTGGGCCTTTTGGTAGGTCTCTTCTTCCCTCCCAGGCCCCAGCCCCACTTTGTTGTCGGTCCATTCCAGCTATAGAGGAGTGAGGTGAGCAGGAGGGCGCAGGTGTCCAGGGTCCTGGGTTTCCCAGGAACTTCAAGGGGCTGAGGGTGTGGAAACCACTATGCTTGGCTTTGCTTTTGCCTGGGACTCCCTCCAGCCAGCTATTTCCTGCCAGCTCAAACTTCCCTCCTCCTCCAGGAAACCTTCCTGGTTGCCCTCACGATGCCCAAAGAGTCACTTCTGATTACAGGAGTTATCTCCATGTATCTTCATTTCTTTTTACTCTTCCACCACCCACAGTCTAAAGAGTAGGGACCCGAGTCCTGTATTACCCACCTCTGACACCTCTGCCAAAGCTCAGGCCAAAGTCTGATGTTTTGGAAATATGATAGAAGAGGGAAATTCTGGGATTAGAGAGCCTGTGTCAAAAGGAAAACTCGACCCCTGGGTCCCAGAGTGGATGCAGAGGGCAAAGTCAGTAGGGTGCCCAAATCCAGCTCCCCTCCCCACCTTGCATGTCCCCCACCTTGCATGTCCCCCCCCCCCCGGAGCTTCCCCAGGCTAACCTCGGGGGCCTCCCCGTGTCTCTCCCACTCTCAGCTCAAGATCTCCTTCAGCGAGACAGCATTGGAGACCACGTACCAGTACCCCTCCGAGAGTTCGGTGCTGGAGGAGTTAGGCCCGGAGCCGGAGGCTCCCAGTGCCCCCAGCCCCCCAGCGGCCCAACCCGACGACGAAGAGGATGAGGAGGACCTGCTGCTGCTGCAGCGGGAGCTCCAGGGCGGGCTGCGCACCAAGGCCCTGATCGTGGGTGAGCGAAGGCTCGGCCTGGCCGAGGGCACCCCCTGGTGTTCATTGGCGGACACTGCGGTCCAGGAGGGAAGGGGAGGAATTAATAACGTTGGTGCTTGGAAGAGACTTGACCTCTAGCCCCATCCGCTCCTTTACAAGTGGGGAAATCGAGGTCTTGGGAACTGAAGTGCACAAGGGGTCTCCAGATTTCAAAACCAGGACTCTTTCTGAGCGCTCTAGTGTGGTTAAAAACACAGGGTTTGGGTCAGACAGGCCTGCATTTGAATTCCATCTTGTCTCTTACCTGTGGTGTATGTAACCTCCAGGAAAGCACTGACCTCTGGTCTCCGTTTATTAATTATGAAATGGGGTTAATAATAACCACCTCCTGGGGTTTTACTGAGAGGGTTCGGTAATTTTTGTGAAGCACCTTGGAACTATGGCTGGACATCAAATGACTTCGCCTCGTCTGGGGTTATTATGGGATTAAACAAGTTGTAAGAAGGCCTGGCGCGGAATGCAAGCTAAATGGGTGATGGCCGCTGTTCCTGCAGTGGCCTTCCAAGCGCTCGGCATGGAAGATCAGTGCAGAGAGTAAGTGGGGAAGATGGGGGGCAGAGGCCCTCACTCATTCTCTACCATTATTGCCTCCTCTCCCACAGATGAGTCCTGCCGGAGGTGACCCTCTGTCAACATAGGGTCTATACCCACCCTTTCCCAGAACTGAAGATCCTGGAGCCCAGAAGATTGAGAACAGAGAGACCCTGAACATGAGCTTGGCCGGGAAGGGCAACCAACATCTTCCAACTTGCTTTCCTCATCCTGTTTATGGGGGCAGAGCTAGTCACCCAGTTTCCACCCTCACCAAAGGTCCCTTGTATGAGTGTGTCAGACGTGCTGGTGGCATCCTAGGTGATTCAAAAGTGAGCATCAAGTCCTGAGGAGGGTCACAGTGCTCACTGGGGCTGGAGGTGGAGCACCTCCTCCAACTCCACTGGTACACTCTCCCTTCAGCTTCCCTTGACTCCCTACCACCCCCTGGGGGCTCTTAGGATTTAAGCACTCATCCTGGATAGCTTGCCCCCACTCCACTTACAGGCCCCTCTCCTTCCTATTCCTTAGGCCACTGCCCCTTTGTTTACACCTCCTGCCTCCTCTCTTGACCACCAGCCTGGTTTACAAACCCCATTAGCTCCCAGCCCCACCTGCCAAAGTCCCAGGTTTACAACCACACCTACTTGTTGAGTCCATGTGGAACCCTCCCCTCTGTCCCTGGCAGCTGCCTCATTGGGGGTGTGGCTTCCTCCACTTTTGCTCAGTATTACTGTACCTCAGTTTTCCCCAAGAAGGAAGGCTGGGAACCTTAGCCCTGTACCCCCATCCAGTTATTTAATTCTGTTCCTCCTAGTGGTCCACAACTGAATTGAATTGCAAGGGTGAGGGGTGACTAACAGGGCACCTCAATTCTTCTTCCCCATTTCTCCTTCCTTATCCACTGCCTGTTTGTTTTTTAAGTTTTCCATAATAAAATGGAGATCTCTCCAATTCTCCTGCTGCTTTTCCTCCTTTAGCAAAAAAAGTGCTGGTGGGGGAGGCTGTGTGTTCCTCGTTCCAAGCCTCTCCCATCTCCTACTGGCCATGAAGAGGTAGTGGCCAGGGCTGCAGGAGGGAAAAATGATGGAGATGGAATAAGAACTCAGCGTTGACATCAAGAAAGGGCTCTGGGAGAGCCCCGTAATTGTTTCTCAAAGGACTAGCAGGAAAAGGACTGATTTGAGGGAGGGTAGGAGGAATCCGCTAAGCTGGGAGTCCCGCAAGAGCACACTGTCAGTTGGGTTTAATGAAGCATCCCCACGCCGCACAAAATTATTCCGAGTACACTTGCAAAGTGATTACTAGAATGAATGAATGGACAACTATATGAATAGATGAAAAGAGCTAAAATACTGGAAGCAGAGGACACTCTGACTTCAAGGATTCCAGTATTTATTTAGAAGCCTGCTAGAAGCAGCCAGCTAGTTCGTGTATAACAATGGCTAATCTAGGGGCATTTACTCCAAGACTCAGGACCATAATATAGAGTATATGCAGTTTCCTGAAGAAGAGTCTCTCATAGACAATGGGTTTTATATTCCTAAAGGTTTAATTAAGAACCATTGATAATTCATGGCTTTGTTGCCCAACTATAGTTAATTGGGAGATTTTCCCATTTCAAAGAATTTCTCTCTTCTACAAATGCGGCAGGTCTATAGTTCACTTATCAGGTCATTTTTTTTTCTTTTTTTCAGTTTGCTAGGGTAGTAAAGACATGTTTGAGTAGTTATTCCACTACAGGAATTTTTCTCAGCTTAGAGGAGACCCCCTTTTACTAAGTACAAAATAAATAAGACAAATTGATCTTAAACATATATCAAAGTCTTTAATTTACTAGCAAAGGAACAACGAAGGTGTTAAAACAATGAGCCAATTTAGAGAGGGTATGAGTATGGAGGGAAACAATGCTTACACTAGTAGCTAATTAGGTAAAGATCCTAATCAGTTTTGACCTAGGAAACCAGAGAGGCTGGAAGCTCTGAGATGCCAGGGGTGCCCACAGTCCATCTCAGAAACAAAACAATGCATCTGAGAAATCAATGCTAAAGAGCTATTGGAATAGCAATATTTCATTTCCCAACAGTAGTGTCTCATAAGTCCAATTACTCATGGAAGTATGAAGCGGGGTCAAATCGACATCAGATAAGCAGAGTAGGGTAATAAGCTCTGCTTTTTTTTTTTTTTAAGATTTTATTTATTTATTTGAGAGAGAATGAGAGAGAGAACATGAGCAGAGTGAGGGGCAGTGGGAGAAGCAGACTCCCCGCTGAGCAGCGAGCCCAATCCAGGACTTGATCCTGGGACTCCAGGATCGTGACCTGAGCCCAAGGCAGATGCCTAACCGACTGAGCCACCCAGGCGCCCCAGCTCTGCTTATAAGCACCACCAGTGAATTAATCAAGCTGTTAGCAGAAACGCAGAACACAGTTTACGCATTCCATAGTTGGAGGTTTTGAAAAATAACTTTCTGGGGCGCCTGGGTGGCTCAGTCGGTTGAGGTCTGCCTTTGGCTCAGGTCATGGTCCCGGGGTCTCTGAATGGAGCCCCACGTCTGGCTCCCTGCTCCGTGTGGAGTCTACTTCTCCCTCTGCCCCGTACCCCACTCGTGCTCTTTCTCTCTAATAAATGAATAAAATCTTAAAAAAAAAAAAAAAAAAGCACCTTTCTGAGAGCACCAAGAAAAGAGGGCACCTTTGGTTTTTTCCCCCAGACCCTGTTTCTTCCTGCTTGGAGGTCTTCGATTACGTCTAAACCTGTATTCATTCCTGCGGCAGGTGCCGGTACTAGCAAAGGTTACTCCTAATCAGCATGGGCTAATCTTTCATCAACATGGCCCTAACCTTCCAATTTGAGATATAATCTCCCCCCAACACACAAACCTTGCATTATTTTTGGCTCCATAGGACTTACATGTTTTATTATGTATCTTGTCTTCCCCCTTCCCTTCAGTAAGGGATTTTTGTCTAATTAGTTCCTTGCCATATCCCCAGCAACTAAAATTGTGCTTAGCACACAGCATTTGTTGAATGAGTGAGCGAGGTATCCACAGACCGGCCATCAGAGGGCGACAGAGAGACTTACTGGAGGCGGAAATAAAATGTTTTACCCCGAGCTTCACGAGCGGTTCCGTTAAGTTTGAACTGGCTCGGCCACCGTAGTGCTTAGGCCGGAAATGACCGGCCGTTACCGGCCTCCCGGATCCGGGAAGACGGTTTCGGGCTGTCGGAAACCGAACCCCAAGGTCCTAAGGCAGGTACTTTGCGGAACTCAGACTCCGGCCCAGGGTTCCAGGCCTCCAGGCCTCCGACGGGCCCAGCCACCAGCGTGGCTACTCGAGACAGTTCAGGGCCGGAAACGGGGCAGCGTGGGTCATCATGGCGACGCCGGCTGGGCTGGAGCGCTGGGTGCAGGACGAGCTGCACTCGGTGCTGGGGCTGAGCGAGCGGCACGTAGCCCAGTTCCTGATTGGGACCGCGCAGCGCTGCGCCTCGGCCGAGGAGTTTGTGCAGCGCCTGCGAGACACCGATACCCTGGACCTCAGCGGGCCAGCGCGGGACTTCGCCCTGAGGCTGTGGAACAAGGTGTCGAGAGGGGCGGGGCGGGGCCAGGCGTGGGAGTGGCTGGAGAGGAGGTGGAGCAGGGGAGGGGCCCCAGGTTGTTTGTCCAGGTGAGGCTGGGCTAACTGTCTTTCCGGGAATTAAGCAAGTTCAGTTCACAAGCACGTAGCTTTTGTCCGTTGTCGCCTGGGTACTGTGCTACGTGCTGGACGTCCAGCTCTGGGAAGAAGTTCAAGGAGCGTTAAGTGTTATAGAGCAGGGTTTCTCGAACTTTAATATGCATGCGACTCATCCAGGACCCTTATTAAAATGCAGATTCCGATTAGGTAGTTTCGGGATGGGATCTTAGTTTTTGCATTTCTAACTAGTTTCCTGGTGAATCCCATGGTCCACAGGCTACACTTTGAATAGTGAGGCTATAGAAAAGATATGTGAGAAATGCTGTGGAAAAGGCAGAAAAGGTAGGCGTAGTGATCAGGGGAAGCAGCCCCAAAGATTCCCCAAAATCTGTCTGGTAGAGAAGGGAGAAGGAATAAAGCTGTAAAGGTGAGCTCCTGGAGGACAGGACTCTGTATTTCTTGTCTTTGTATTTCTCCCACCTGACAGCACCTTACAGAACAGGTGCTTAGTTAAGTATATGGAAGAGAGAAAGTGTTCAGCCTGTTCATAGAATGGCAAGTAGCCTGCTTTGGTTGTCACATCTGGTGCCTGGCGGGAGATGAGTTTAGAACCTAAGTGGTTTGAGCATAGGGACTTTATGTATATCTGTTTAGCATGTATCCTGGAATCTGGTACAGTGCCAAGCTTATGACAGGCCTCTGCAAACCAGTCCTTGTAGCGTATCAGTTCTTGCATTGGGATGACTTACTCGTGGGGAAGAACAGAGGCTGAACAACTGAGAATTGGTTTTGAGAATGTAAAATAAATTCCATGAGGGCAGGGATTGTTGTCTTTTGGTCCCTAGTAAGTACCTGGTGCATCAGACAGGCTTCATTAAATGTTTGTTAAGTGAATGACTGCAAGGAGATTCAGAAGCTGAGAAGCCCAATTCAGGCTGATGAACATGGTGTGAAGCCATGGGGAAAAGACACAGTGAAGGCTGGTTTAAGATCAGGTCATTCCTTAAATTCGAAATGGGGCAAAGTAGGTTGGCAGAGATCAGGAGTTGCTCACATCCCATTATCTTCCCTTCTGATAGGTACCACGGAAGGCAGTGGTAGAAAAGCCAGCTCGGGTGGCCGAGCGAGAGGCACGAGCCCTGCTGGAGAAGAACCGATCCTATAAGTTGCTGGAAGACAGTGAGGAGAGCAGCGAGGAGACCGTAGGTAGAGCTGGGAGCAGTCTCCAGAGGAAGCATAAAAAACGGAAACACCTCAGGAAGAAATGTCAGGAGGAGGAAGAAGAGGAGGAAGAGATTCCTGAGAAGGGGAAAAAAAAGACAGGGTAAGTCAGAAGCAGGGTGAGAAAGGATGGGACGGGATGAGGGGGCGATAAGCCTCGTAGGAGGCCTTATCTAATCCTTCGGGCCGGGCTGCAGAGGGAGTAAACAGCAGACTGGGAAGCCAGAGTCGGAGGATGAGTGGGAGCGGACGGAGCGAGAGCGCCTTCAGGACCTGGAGGAACGTGATGCCTTCGCTGAGCGGGTTCGGCAGCGGGACAAAGATCGAACTCGAAATGTCCTGGAGCGGTCAGACAAGAAGGTACATAAGAGCAGCATGTTCTATAAATCTGCAGGAAGATCCCTGGGTCAGATCTGAGGTTGGGTGTGATTGCAGAGATATTGGTCTCCGGGAAGACCAGGATGGGCTCCGGTGGTGTTCATCTCTATAGTAAGAGGACCTTTCTGGGTCCTCTAGCTATGGCGACCCTCTGCCGAACCTGTAGCCTTTGAGATTCCTCACTGAGAAGGACCGTTTCTTTATGCAATGGTAAATCCGAATGAGCCTTGTGATTCTAGAGGGGGAGTGGCTGTGGGAGATTTTGGCCTTACAGCCCTCCACTCTTGGTTTCTTCTCCTAGGCTTATGAAGAGGCTCAGAAGCGCCTGAAGATGGCTGAGGAAGACCGGAAAGCCATGGTGAGTCCTAGTGCCCAGGAAGCCAACTGTAAGAAGGCAAAAGAAATAATTTTCTGATGAAGTGGTTTGGGGTAGGGAAAAGGGACACAAAGGAAGTACAGTGGGGATGCTGATGGGCTGTCAGGTCTGTGTTGACAGGAGCTTGCCAAGGACTTACTTAAGTTGTAGTGGGAAAGAAGCTGCCCACAAACCGTCTTACTCCTTAGGATCTGAATCACACTTCAGATGTGAGCTCTCCCTGAGATTTAAGGAGATGTAATCAGAGGTCAGCTGGAACACCCAAGGGGCTGGCTGGAGGACGGGGGCAGGGCAGCCATC